AAAAAGGTCGAAAAATAATGATGCCGAAAAGGGCATGTGATATTTGACAGCTGTAACAGTTGGCATCGATTGTCTAGTGAGACATTTAAACACAAACGCATCGTTCTATCGAAATGCTGCAGATACATGTAGAAATAATATGGAGCTTTACAAGTGTTAAGAGTAGTGCATCATCAGTTTGTGTGATATGTTCATTGCTAAATTGTAGACTAATTATCTTTAACGTTTGCCAGAGATGGTCTGTTCACTTACTTATCTAGATCACAATTATTTGACGTGGACGTTAGCCAAGTTCGGCTTCTTGTACACTTATCTTTAAGTTACACTTTGGATGTAAAAGTTGTTTGATAATACTACGTGGTTACTCCAAAAAAAAGTGGGTGGAAATTTCTAATATGAAAATATTTGGATAATTTTTTATTATTCCACATCGAAAATTACAAAATATCAGTTTTTGTTTTGTTCTTGTCACTGTGACATACATAATCAAATAGGTGTTGTATTCTACCAATATGAAATATATATTCAGCTATTACTGTTTACACGTATTTTTTACCCTCACTTTTAAAGCATATGATTTAATTTTGGCTTCTCACAAAACACTTTATCGTGAGTGATCTTTATAAAAGTGCTTGCTACGTACTTAAGGTTTAGGTTAACGATTTAGTCACGTAGTTTTTATCTACTGACCTGTATTATTTATTTAGGGTCATTACTTTATACTTACCAATTATATAGATATTTTAGTACGTAGTATTTAAACTTGTACATGCGTATGGCGTTTCAACTTTTTTCAAATCCGTCTAATTTAACTTAATTTTTTTTCATATCCATTACTTTTGATTGTATTCAAAATTTAAAAAGTGGTCTTTTCACGCTGCACTTATGTTATTTCATGGTATGACATGTATATATGTTTTGCTCTATTTTATTAGATATTGGATCAATCATGCGTGTGAGTTGTTTAAATCCAATTCAAGATGCAGTTTCATGGACTGATAAACCATTCAGCTACTATGTTCATACAATTGATCGTTCACTGGTAAGTGTACACTGGAATAATTTTCTTGTTTTCATACTTCCAAACTGTCCAAATTGAGGAGTCTCATCAGCGCTGATAGCCTGGTGACTGACGAAATCTCAGCGTGGATACAGAAAGCTCGATTGGCTTTTGCCAACCTGCGTCACTTATAGCGTAAGCGTGATATCCGTTCGCTAACCAAAGGACGAGTGTACTGCGCAGCAGTTCGCTCCGTTCTCCTATATGGTTGTGAAACATGGCCGTTAAGAGTAGAAGATGTTCGTAGGTTACTAGTATTCGATCATAGATGTTTAAGAAGCAAAGCTCGTATATCGTGGGACAGCCGAGTAAGCAATGCTGTCGTTAGGAGACGAGTACTAGGTAAGGATGGCAGATCAATAGATGAAGTAGTGAAACTTCATCAGTTGAGGTGGTTGGGACATGTGTTAGGTATAGCTAACCACCGACTGCCTCGACGGGCTATGTTTTGTGGTGTAAGAGTAGGTTGGAAGAAAGCTAGGGGCGGCCAAACCAAACCATGGCAGAAATCCATGAAGTCACTGACACGTGGACTGAGTCATGTTGGTAGATGTAGACTACCTGGTTGGGGTCCGTGAGACGAAAGTCATCGATGGTTAGAGACCTTAAACGACATGTCTCAAAATCGTTTGCAATGGTGCAAGTGCATCCATTCTTTGAGCTCTCTCAAATCCTAATCTTCTGGATTCGTCAGCACCTCTACCTTTGTTTGTCTAACCTTATCTCACTCACTGCATTATACTTCTTGAATAATATGTTCAAATCCTAGTCTTCTTCATTACCATTAATACCTCTACTATCTTTATCACAATGGGATTTGATTTGACATCTGCGTCTTTGTGCTAATGTGGTATGGCAACATGAAGTTATGTACATACGTACGAAGTTCTACGTTGCAACTGACTGACCGACTGAAACTGTCCAAATGTTCGTTGTTTTGTTAAAAGTAATTCATGATCCAGTTAGCAATACATCCCACCTAAGTAGGCTCATCCATCAATCTCTGTTTTTTTTTCTTAACAGTAAACCACAGACAGGCTTTAGTCTTAAAACAAAACAATAGTAGTCATGTTTATGAAGCAGATTTCATTGTCTATTTGATAGGTTGATTTTTATAACTTTTCTATTTTTAAAATTAATTTGATAATCACGTTAAGCTGAAAAATTCAGTGTTGTGTCACTTTCACAACGAGCAACACACGCCTAGCAGCTCTCTAGTCATCATTTGAAAGCTAGTGTAATTTACCATATTTTCATTAACAACCCTAGTGTGTGTACACACCCACCAAAGTTTACAAAAACTTGTTCTCATTTACAGTCAGAGTCGGTCAGATGCAACGTAGAACTTCGTACGTAAGTACATCAGTTCATGTTGCCATACCACATCAGCACAGAGATGTAATTGTCAATTCAAATCCAATAGTAGAAGAGGTAGTAAAGGTATCAGAAGTAATCGGAGAGGTTATGATTAGAAGATATCATTCAAGAAGTATGATTCAGTGGAAAAAGTTTACAGAGTTGAAGAAACCAGAAGATTATGATTTGAGAGAACACAAAGAATAAATGCACTGTCGCCATTGCAAACGATTTTGAGCCATGTCATTCAAGGTCTCTAGTCATCGATTATTATCATGTGGCGGACCCCAACCAGGTAGTCGACAATTACCAATATGGCTAAGTCCATTCGTCAATGATTTCATGGATTTCTGCCATGTTTTGGTTTGGCCGCCCCTAACTTTCTTCCAACCAACTCCTACAGTACAAAACATAGCTCGTCGAGGCAGTCGGTGGTTAGGCATACGCAACACATGTCCCAATCACCTCAACTGATGAAGTTTCAGCACTTCATCTATTGATCTGCCATCCTTACCTAGCACCCGTTTTCTAATAATAGCGTTGCTCACTCGGGTGTCCCACGATATACGAGCAATGCTTCGAAGACATCTATGATCGAAAACCAGTAACCTACGAATATCTTCTACTCTCATTGGCCATGTTTCACAGACATAAAGTAAGACGGAACGAACTACTGCGCAGTACACTCGTCTTTTAGTCAACAAATGGATATCTGGCCTACGCCATAAGTGACGCAGGTTGGCAAAAGCCAATCGAGCCTTCTGTATCCGTTCTGAGATTTCGTCAGTCACCAGGCCATCGGCACTGATGAGACTCATTTACAATCGTTTAGTTTTGTATCATTATAAAAATAAGTTCTATAAACCTTTATTATAATGGAGTTTTCGTTATGATTTTTTCTTACCTTTGATTAATGATGATAATTGTTCTACTTCCGATTTACTTTTAGTTAGAACAGTACTTTGCCCGTTTGAAAAATCCGAAATCTAAAGTATGTCAGTTTTTTTTTCTTATTTTTAAAAGCCTAACATTTTTGGTTTATTTGAACTAGTATTGATAAGATTTGTAGAATTCAATACTCTGTAATTGTAGTAAGAACTGAACAATTGTTGAATACTTAGTTCTTTCTGCGAATATGTATGTATATGCAGAGTCTCAGACTATTGTGTTAATCAGCTGTTTTAAACAAATACGTCGAAGAGTTATTTTACACGGAATAATAATCACTTATCTATCCACAAAAGGTGCTGAGTGAAATTTGTACCTTGACACAGTTTTTGCTTAAATGAGTAGTATTATAGCAACTTCAAAACAGAAAATCAATTAAATTTGTCACATGTTATCTTTTCACCGGGTCGAATGACCTTGTATAAACAAACTATTTGGCCAAGGCTCTCTTTCTATCGTCCTAAATCATTAATGGAATATAATATGAATTTCAGTGCATTTGACTAATTAAAAATATACTACGAACTAATTTTATTGTTTAGAAATTCCTCATTACGCAGGAGTTTAGTTTGATATTATAGCACGGAACCGAGTCATTGCAAATATAATATGTTTGTTTGCGTAATTTGGAGTTTCTTTCTGTTGTATGCATGAAGTGAAAGGAAATAACTGTAAAAATTGTTTCCAAGTTCTGTTGAATAATAAGAGCGATACCATCTCGTATGTATACCATAGAAAGTCAGTGAAAATATCACTAGCCATTGGAGTAGTTTGTCATTTTAGTAATTATTTGAAAAGGCAATTTACCAGTTAGGGTGTTTTACTTTTAACCAATAAGTATCAGGATCAAACTTTACTCCACTTTTGGGTTTGGTTAACCGGCTAGTATCAGTAGCCTTCATACTTTGAGTGTTGCTTATACCCAAGTACTCGGTAAATAAGCTGATTTATATTACTTAAGTATTTACTAGTTTATCATGGAATAACGTCTAAGTTCAACACAGAGTATAATTTGTTGACTGTCATGCTGCATAAACAATTATAGTGATGGGAAAATAGTGTTCAAAACACTCGATTTACAATCATTAAGTTGAAGCTTCATACCCTACTCTACCTGTTTTGGTTCAGGGAACCGGGTACTATTTTAATCCTTCATACAAGAAGCAAACCTTAAAGACGGGTGTATAAACCTAATCAGTGAGTAGATGGGAGCACTGTTTTACATTTGATTCAGTCATTGAACGTTGTCTGCAATCAGACTTAAAATTATAATCCTTTACGTTTAAACTGCATTTTCATCTTAATATTAAATTTATAGCTAAGCGTCATGAATTGAGAACATCACACACCGAATTTACCATACATAGTCAGTAACCCTTGATCATATTTTCTGTCTGTCTTATTTGCTAAACCTAAATTTATCAATATATATATATATATTTTCCTTTATTTCTTCCCTAAATTATAAATAAGGATGAAAATCATACTGTTCGTCGTGATCGTAAAGGTCGTGTAATCTCTGAGACTACTATGCGAGAAGTAAGTCGCATCAGATGCTTTTTAAATTCTCTCTGTTTTACGTTGTTTGCAATTTAAACGTTTGGAAATATTAGGGAGCACATACTGACAAAGTGAAAATCATTTCAGATATTTTAGGTTGGATAAAAATCAGTAAATGTTGTTTTATTGAGCTGAGTTTTCAGTATGGTATTTTGTTTGTTGAACTTCTGTTTTAACTACCTAGTATTTGATATAATTGTTTTGAAGTAACTGAATTTCATTACATACTCACTCTATATCTTGTATGGGTCTACCGAAGCTGCTACCTTGACGTGGTGGTCGGGCTTGCCTATCTTCATGACCCAACCAAGCTATATTGGCTGGAGCTTATGTTCCTGAAGGTTCTACCATGCCAGTCAGACAGGCCGATCGGAGAACGATGAGACTAAAAGCAGCTACTCAAGGTCTGAGGACGAAGTCGTACTGACGACTGCACAGGGGTGTGATAGCAATAAGGTGTTTCCTTCGGACAAGCAGCATCTGCAGCCATGCTGTCTTCTCACAAGTAAGGAAGGGTTAGAAGCAATCGACCCTAAAATTGTCACACCTCACCCTACCTCACGAATTTCCGTCTCCGGCTGTAAGGGTGCCCACTAAGGGATTATAAGAGCGAAGCTAATACTCAAAAAACTTTTCATAAAAAGGCTGTTCGTGACCGGCCTCAAACAGTGTCCCTTGGGCTCAGCGGTTACGCACCCAGATCTCCAAGACCAACACTAATCTATCTTCCTTTTCAGGTTCCTCAAGTAACAGCCTTCCACAGTGTGGGCAGCCGGAAAGTGACAACCTGATTCATAATCTGGCTAGTAGTCTTGTCTCTTAACTTCTAATAGTTCGACGGTCCAAATCATTAAGAGTATGGGTATGGGGGCGGTTGTCACTTCCCGGCTGTCCACACTGTGGAAGGTTGTTTCTAGACGAACCTGAAAAGGAAGATACATTAGTGTTGGTCTTAGAGACCTGGTTGCGTGACCGCAGAGCCCAAGGGACAACTGTTTGAGGCCGGTCACGCACAGCCTTTTTACGAAAGGTTTTTTGAGTATTAGCTCCGCTCTTATAATCCCTTAGTGGGCACCCTTACCGCCAGAGACGGAAATCCGTGAGGTAGGGTGAGGTGTGTGAAGGCAGCACCACTGCAGATGCTGGTTGTTCGAGGGAAACACCTTGCTGCTGTCACACCCCTCTACAGTCAGTCAGCAGAACGACTTCGCCCTCAGACCTTGAGTAGCTGCTTTTAGTCTCATCGTTCTCCAATCGACCTACCTGGTATGGTAGGACCTTCAGGAACATAAGTTCCAGCCAATATAGCTCGGTTGGGTCATCACGATGGGCAAGCCCGACCACCACGTTAAGGTATCAGATACGGTCGGGAAAGTTTACATTTTCTGTCAATTTATCATGTTACAATGTGTTTTCCATGTTTTTGTTTTTGTTTAACCAATCCTTGCTTTATTGTTTACTACAATTTAAATATATATCATTTAAAATTTTAACAGGGTTCAGTTCAACTAACAGTAAATACAAATGGTAATATCAGTCATAAATCTAGACAATCATCAACCATTACAAAACATCGTTCAAATAATACCTTCCGATGTTTACCAAAAAGATCACCATCTTTACCTGAACTAATAACAGCTAGTTCTCCTTCAAAACTCATTTCTATTGAAGGAAGAAAGTTAAGTTTACAGCATTGTTTAACAAAACGTAAAACTATCAAACAACAAGGATCTACAACTGGACATAGAATAAAACCATGTCATTCACAATATCATCAATCACAACTTAAACATTCATCATCATTATCTCAGGATATTTTCACATTATCATGTAATGATGACACAAATACTACTAATACTACTACTACAAATCCAGTTGAATCTCATATTGATGATACTCAACCAGTGGAATCAACTCAACATGAATCAGTAGTATGTGATGATAATCAAGATAAAAATCAATTTTCTACAGTTATTCCACAATTATTATTATTAAATAATCCTTGTGAAACACAATCATTGTCAAAATCCAATACTGTTAAACAAACTATACGACGTATTCATAAATATAAAACAATGACAACGAATAATAATGATAAATTAATTTATAATTATCAAATGATTGATGATTGTTTCAGTTCATCATCATCATCAACATCATCCTCATTACATGATCAACAGGATAGTCGAAATTCTTCATCATCACCATATATATCTTCATTATCTTCGGCGAATCGATCACCGAATTCTCAAACAGATGAAATTACTTCTTCGTTGAGTGGTGGTGCTGGTGGTGTTGGTGTTGGTGGTGGGAATTTGACAAATCATCATCATACTGGATTAACATTGAAATCAATTCAATCATCTAATCTTTCTATTATTCCAGAAGATAAATTAGATAAAGGTGAATTATTTTGGTTATTTTGATTTTAAAATTTATTATTAATATTAGGTAATAAATAATTTTTGTTTCATTGGCATTTGAACTCTAGTAGGTAGGGAGTAAAGTAGTTGGATGTATTGATCGCTTCACTTATCTTGGGAGTTTCATCAGTGTTGATGGTTTGGTGACTGACGAAATCTCAGCTTGGATACATAAAGCTTGATTGGCTTTTGTCGACTTGCGTCATTTATGGCGTAGGCGAGATATCCGTTTGCTGATTAAAGGACGAGTGTACTGTGCAGTAGTTCGCTCCGTCTTACTTTATGGCTGTGAAACATGGCCAATGAGAGTAGATATTCGTAGGTAACTGGTGTCTTCGTAGCATTGCTCGTATATTCTGGGACACCCGAGTGAGCAACGCTATTATTAGGAAACGGGTGCTAGGTAAAGATAGCAGATCAATAGTTGAAGTAATGAAACTTCATCAATTGAGGTGATTGGGACATGTGTTACGTATGCCTAACCACCGACTGCCTCGACGGGCTATGTTTTGTAGTGTAGGAGTAGGTTGGAAGAAAGCTAGAGGCGGCCATACCAAAGCATGGCACAAATCCATGAATTCACTGACAAGTGGATTGAGTCATGTTGGTAGATGTAGGCTACCTGGTTGGGGTCTGCGAGACGATACTTTCCGGTGGTTAGAGATCATGAACGACATGGCTCAAAATCGTTTGCAATGGCGCAAGTGCATGCATTCATTGTGTTCTCTCAAACCTTAACCTTCTGGATTCCTCATCATCTCTATGTTTCTCTTTATGAACTTATCTCACTGAATTATACTTCTAGAATATTATCTTCATATCCTAATCTTCTCCATTAACAGTAATTCTTCTACTATCTCTACCACTATAGGATTTGAACTGACAATAGCGTCTCTGTGCTAATGCCGTATAGCAACCTGAACTGATCGACCTACGTACGAAGTTCTGCGTTGTATCTGTCTGTCTGTCAGTCTGTCATTAAATACACTATAATCTGTAATTGAACTAAAGGTGGTTGGCTTTGATTGTTAGGTTGCTTGAAGTTTATTCTTGAACAATTTCGCTGTAATTAAAGGTGTGTGTGTGTGCGTAAATATATTGATGAGGTTGTGATCTTCTATGAACTATTGGGTTATGTATTGTGTGGATACCAGTCAACCGATTATTAGCAGGTTGGGGAAAATCAGAATAATTAGATTGTATCGTTGAGTTACTTCCATCTAGACCGTATAGGGAACAATAGACTTCCTCATCACAATCCATACAACGACTGTTGTTGTGGATTGTTCGGAATGATTTTTATTGGTGCAGATCGATATGTTGTTAATTTCTGTTCAAATTTTGTGTTGTATTATCCTATCTTTTATTCCCTATTTCCCCTTAACTTTCGTTTTAGATTTTTTATTATTGTTGATATCCCAACTTCTATTTCCTTTATTCGATCCCTATTGATCTTGAGATGGTGGAGAAAATGTGTAGCTCAGGTGGATGATTGTAGTGGTGTTTCATTCTCTGAGCTGGATGTTCCGGTTGAGGAGCTTGTGGAGCTGAACAACATCATAAGCACAAACTTCAGATAGCTGAAGTGAAGCATTCGAATTTCTGCCCGTTTGACCTGTAACTTGTTCTGCTAAACTCGTTCTTGATTGGTTGTTGTTGACCTTAAACCTGTTGTTGTTTTTTTGTACCTTTATTTTGATTGTATCCCCCTTTTTAATCTGTTTCTTGATCCTGTCACCAATGATTCTTCTGATTGGTTAATAAATTGGGTCAATGTTGATGTGTTTATTGATTGCTGATTGACCTGAGTGTCAAGCTTCTAAAAATTCTCTAGTGTTCTTTGTGCTCCCACTATCCAGTATTTTTACGTTGTTGCAATTGAATGTATGTCCATAACTGTGTTGATATAGGCGAATAGTCGTGACGTTTGACTGATCATTGATGTTCACGTAAACGAAGCTGTTGACGCCGTCCACTTTGTCCTATGTAGTGTTTTTCACAGTCTGAGCAATTGTTTATTTTGTACATGATATTTGGTTTTTCTTCCTTTGTCATTTTGTCCTTTGGTCAACATAGGATTAACTGAATTGATTCTGTTGGTTTGTGTGCCACACCTATTCCAAATGGTTTCAGTAGTCGTGCTGTATGTTCCTATATGTCTTTTATGTATGGTAGGATGATCCGTTTATTGGTTCATGTACTTGATTTCGCTTGATGTTTTTTGATTAAGTTGCGTGGATAGCCATTCTTTTGGAAGATAGTCATAAGATGGTTTTCCTCCTTTTTTAGTGCCTCGTGTTTGCTTCAGTGTGTCTTTGCTCTCTTGAACAAAGTTTGTATGCAGTTGATTTTGTAGGTTATTGGCTTGTCGCTACCGTAGTTGAGAATTACGTCTGTATGTGTTGGCTTCCGAAATACTTGAGTTTTCAGTTTTCCTGTGTTAGTTCTGGTGATTAATACATCCAGGAATGATAGACTGTTGTTTGATTCCTTTTCCATCATGAATTTGATGTCATTTGTGTAGGATTTTACTTAATTCGATGATCTTATGAATTGGAAATATTTATTAGTTAAAAACGTTTAACTTCTTTGTTTAGTGTAACCACGGTTGTAATAATAATGGACTCATTATTTATGTTCTGAACACCAAGCGCTTTTTCAGATGCTTATAAGCAATTAACTTTAACAAACAGCACGATCTCTCAAGTAAGACCTGCGTTTATTGGTAGGCGATTCATTCATAGTTGAGCGTCACACTCGGGTAGACGACAAAAACTTATTGACCTAAGTCTAATTAATACTAATTCTGATGAAAATGGTATCTAGAAGTAGACGATCGGAAAAAATATACGGTATTAATAAGCTTTCTCAATCTCTTAGCTTAGTGTTTTAGATAATATGCTTCGCGGTAGCAGATAACTCTGATGATGCTTTAATCCTGAATAAAACACTTCTCTTCTCTCCAAACTCCATCCATTTCAAATGATATATCTTGTCAAGATTTATTAATAGAACCACCGACTACCTCGTCAAGCTGTGTTGCGATGTAGGAATAGGTTGAAAAGAAAGCTATGGGCGGCCAACTGAAAACATGGCACAAATCTATGAAGTCACTCATAACTCTAGACTGAGTTATGTTGGTAGATGTAATCTACCTGGTTGTGGCCGCGAGATGATAAGTAATCGATGGTTAGAGACCCTGAATGACATGGCTGAAAACTGTTTGCAATGGCGCAGGTGTATCCATTCTTTACGTTCTCTAAATTTATAATTATCTGAATTCCTGATCACCTCTATCTTTCTTTTTTTAAGTTTATTTCACTTGAATTACACTTCTTGAATAATATCTTCAAACCGTAATCTTCTCCATTACCGCTAATACTTCTACTATCTCCACCACTACGGGATTTGAACTAACAATTGCGTCTCTCTGTGCTAATGCGGTCTAGCAACCTGAACTGATGTACGCACGTATGTACGTACGTACTTACGTACTAAGTTCTACGTTGCTGTTGTTAATGATGATTATTACAAGAAACTAAGTAATATATTGATTTACATCTAAATTAATTATGTATTGATCAAATTCACTACTTACTAATTATAAAATTGTCACTTGATCAGTAAAATTAGAGAGTGAGTTTATAAATATAGAATGTAAAACGTATTAAAAGAAATTACATAGTGAATTTCATGCGTAACTAACTGCCTGAATTAATAGAAATGTTTTAAAAAGAAATTTGCTGAGATTCATTAAGAATGAATTAATACTGAAGTTACTTGACAAAAACTACCCTTACTCTATCTATTATGTAGATTTCAAGATTGATTTCGCCATAAGACTGTGTATATTTAAGAATTTAGGATCTTTAATAGTAGTGTGTCACTGTTTACTTTTCACAAAGCTATAATATTTAATTTAGTTTGTGTTGGGGACTTTAATAGATAGATCGTTGGAAGATTCTCTATTATCTGTTTGTGAGAAGAGAAACTTGTGTCAGCCAGAAAGCATCTAATGAAATGCCTCAACGTGCATGTCTAAAACCTCAGTTACAATCGAAGTGTGAGATATGAGATAATGTAAATTGTGATTGTCAAATTAGTCATGACAATGCAATTCGAAGACTATACACTGTTTCAATGTTAAGGCAGTCAGTCATTTGGCGTCAGAGTGCTGATTCAATTTTTTCAAATTTATGTAGGACGAAAATTACCTACAAATTTAGGGAGAAAGAAAATGTATGGTAGGGAAATAAAGATGTGATTGGTCACCGAGCGTAGATGAACAGACACAGTCCATTGACAGTCCGATTTGTGGTTTCATTAGCTCTTATTAATTTCTCTGCAGGACTCACTGAGCGTGACTGTTTATATAATCGTGCATGCGTTTATCGTGATCTAGTGTCTCTGTGTAGTGCAACAATACAAGCATGTTCGGGATGCGGTTCTCCCCGTCGAAATGCAAAATGTTGCTTCAAGATTGGGTCGCATCGGCACCTGAACTAGTGACAGGGAGTGAAGTAGTCGAGCGTGTTGATCACTTCACTTATCTGGGGAGTCTCATCAGTGCTGATAGCCGGGTGACTGACGAAATCTCAACACGGATACAGAAAGCTCGATTGGCTTTTGCCAACCTGCGTCACTTATGGCGTAGGCCAGATATCCGTTTGTTGACCAAAAGACGAGTGTACTGCGCAGTAGTTCGTTCCGTCTTACTTTATGGCTGTGAAACATGGCCAGTGAGAGTAGAAGATACTCGTAGGTTACTGGTTTTCGATCATGGGTGTCTTCGAAGCATTGATCGTATATCCTGGGACACCCGAGTGAGCAACGGTGTTATTAGGAAACGGGTGCTAGGTAAGGATGGCAAATCAATAGATGAAGTATTAAAAAACTTCATCAGTTGAGGTGATTGGGACATGTGTTGCGTATGCTTAACCACCGACTGCCTCATCGAGCCTTGTTTTGTAGTGTAGGAGTAGGTTGGAAGAAAGCTAGAGGCGGCCAGACCAAAAAATGGCAGAAATCCATGAAGTCGTTGACGAGTGGACTGAGTCATGTCAGTAGTTGTCGACTAACTGTTTGGGGTCCGCGAAATGATAATAATCGATGGTTAGATACCCTGAATGACATGGCTCAAAACCGTTTGCAATGGCGCCGGTGCATTAATGCTTTGTGTTCTCTCAAATCCTAATCTTCTGGATTCTTCTACCCCTTTAGTTTTGACTTTCTAAACTTTTCTCATTTAAACATACTTCTTGAATAATATCTTCTCATCCTAACCTCTCCGATTACTTCTAATACCTTAACTACCTCTACTACTATTGGATTTGAATTGACAGTTATATATCTGTGCTGATGTGGTATGGCAACATGAACTGATGTACTTACTTACGAAGTTCTACGTCGCATCTGACTGACTGACTGTGTGCGCTCGCTGTTCGAGTATCTAATTCAGTGGCAGCATAACTCGGTCACTCATTTAGCCGTTAATACAGAGGACAAAGAATATGTAGAGAACCATTGTTATAACAGTTTGAATGTGTTAGTGGGACATAGATTGGATGGAAGCATGATTGCGTTGCTACACACTGATTGGCTCTTTCTCACCCAGTCAGCGCCAGTCGATACTGTGGAGGGAACATTCTAGAATCTGCTTATGTAAGGACCTTCTGTCTTCCAATCTCTATTTCCTGTTCAACAACCATATTCTGATTTTCGGAAGAGAATGTCTCAAGTGAAGTTGGTGTGTGAGAATACTTATTAGCATCAAGGAATAACTGGGTTGTAATATAACAAGAGAGAGAAAGAGAGAATGATAACAGAATGTGTTATATTTTATTGATTACAATGTATATAAATTTTTTCTGAAAACAAAAAATATTGTTTGTATACACAATAGGCTTTGGTAGTTTTTTAGTTTTAGTTTTAATTTTCTGTTTGCCTTTTATTTTATTTTCTCTTATAACAGCTATTTGTGTGAGAGAAAGTGTGATTTTTTATGTTGTTTGTACAAGAAAAAAAAAGTACATTTTTAGAAAAAAAACTCTTATTACATATTGTTTAATATTCTGAGTAAATATTTATAAATGTATTCATAACAATGGATAGCAAGCAATCTCTAACATATTAGCTTTTTCACGATGTAATTGTTGAAGATACTGAACATTTAGAAAGCTATTTACCTATTGGTTGTTTTAGGTTTTTGTGAATTTGAAATTCTGTTTTTTTGTTTTGCGGACTTGAACTTCCCACTAAAAACCATCCTTCAAATGTCCTATCGCTTGATGGCTCGCTCTTCTGGTATACTAAATGATTGTTCCTGTTTTCAAAGTCCTTCATACATGCGTTTACACATGTATTCGATTTGCTTTAAATCAGCTCGCTTTATGATTTAAACCAAATAAATCTTCCTTTCAAGATTGTCTTTTGAAGTGGCCAAAGATGGGAGAACAAACGGAGCTACGATATCATCCATGAGATGAAAGTCACCAACGGTTAGAGACCTTGAATGACATGGCTCAGAATCGTTTGCAATGGCGCAGGTGCATCCACTCTTTGCGTGCTTTTTAATTCTAATCTTCTGGATTCTTCATAATCTCTATCTTTCTCCTAAACTTATCTCACTGAATTATACTTCTCGAATCATATCTTCGCTCCCTGATCTTCTCCACTACTACTAATACTTCTACTATCGCTATCACTCTTGGATTTGAACTGACAGTTACGTCTCTGTGCTAATGTGGTATGGCAACCTGAACTGATGTACTTATGTACGAAGTTCTGCGTTGTATCTGTCTGTCTGTCTGTCTGCTACGATATCTGAATATTCACTTGACAGTCATAAATTGTTTCCTTTACCATAACCATAGTTTTATCTTTGCTCCTAAGTTAAGCAATGAAAATCTCTATAAACTAGATTGAATAGTGTTTTATGACACATGTGTATTGTATTTCTGTTGGTGTGTGAATTCTTCTTTTCTATCTGTGCATAAAGTCTTTTACAGTCGATTTTAGTTGATTTCGACTTCTTGGTTGAGATGCGTAAGGTAACTATGATCTGTGAGCGACAACTGGCTATATATGATTATAGCTTGTCATGAGATTGTAAGTTCGCATAACATGAAAATTCCAAATCTTTTGGCCATTCAGTGCTCTAATGTTTCTCTAAATAGAATCTTTCCATTAAACCTATTTGGCACAAGGTTTGAACATTAAAAGCTCCAATATGTAGTTTGGAGCGGGGTATCAGGAGACCAGGAATAACGTTTCGTGAGCTCATACCGTTTACTTCAGCGGCGCGAGGTGACAAACGGTCGAAGGAACAGTTGGTCAAGGAGATAAGAGAGTTATTATGAGGTTCAGAAAGGATTTGATTGTGACCGATTCGGTCTCGTGTGTTTTTATGGGTATAAGGGCGGATGTTACTTCCCAGCTACCCACACTGTGGGAGGGCTCTGGTTGTCAGAAGGGGCATCGATCTCATGGCTTTCGAAGGAACTGGACTTTCATCATGAGAGACGTCCTAACTCTTCCAAATGAAGACCTAACTCCTTGAGCAGAGTTTAAATTGTTTGAATTATTATTTCTTGTTAGCGTTTTCAGCGAGTTAGTTTTTTGCAGGACGGGGTCACCAACCCCAATCCCAACCCTCCTCCTATATCCGGGCTTGGGACTGGCAGTAGCCCCGAAGGGTCTGCCCGACCGTAGCTGCTACCTTGACGTGGTGGTCGGGCTTGCGTATCGTGATGACCCAACCAAGCTATATTGGCTGGAACTTATGTTCCTGAAGGTTCTACCATGCCAGTCAGACAGGTCGATCGGAGAACGATCAGACTAAAAGCAGCTACTCAAGGTCTGAGGACGAAGTCGTACTGACGACTGCACAGGGGTGTGATAGCAATAAGGTGTTTCCTTCGGACAAGCAGCATCTGCAGCCATGCTGCCTTCTCACAAGTAAGGAAGGGTTAGAAGCAATCGACCCTAAAAATGTGACACCTCACCCTACCTCACGGATTTCCGTCTCAGTTGGTAAGGGTGCCCACTAAGGGTTTTTAAGAGCGGAGCTAATACTCAAAAAACCTTTCATAAAAAGGCCGTGCGTGACCGGCCCTTGTCCATTGTGCACTGCGGCCACGCTCCTAGGTCTCTAAGACAAACACTAATCTACCCTCCGTTTCATGTTCCTGAAGAAACGCCTTTTCACGGTGTGGGCAGCCGTGAAGTGACATCTGCCCGCATACCCTTAACAGCACACGAGACCAAATTGGTCACAATCAAATCAAATCTGGAGGGTCTACAGGCGACTCAGGTGCGTTCATTCTTTGTGTCCTCTTTGAATTCCTCATCACCTTTATCTTTTAAGTTTATCTCACTGGATTCTACTTCTTGAATAATATCTTCAAACCCTAATTTCTCCGATTACTGCGAATACTTCTACTACCTCTACGATTATGGGATTTGAAGTGACAATTGCGTGTCTCTGTGCAAATATGGTATGGCAACTTGAACTGATGTACGTGCGTATGAAGTTCTATGTTGTTGTTGTTGTTGTTGACTGACCGAATATCTTTCCATTACAATTTCTTACGCAAGTTTTTCCTACACAGCATGCATGGGAGTAGAAACATTTAAGTTGTAAGCGCTGATAGTCAAACGTAAATACCTAACTACATGGATATTAATTAAATCAAAATTTAAAATCTTAACTAAGCAGGAATGTAACAGATTGTCCATTGGTAATTCTCATACAAACCCCCCTCTCTGTGATTGATTAATCCCGTTGTTTAACAACAGTAAACCCTGTTTTTTTTTTCCCGGATAGATTTTTTCTCATTTATTAAAGCATCATAATTGGTTTGGTGAATAATGCCTTTAGTAAAAAAAGTTTCATTTAAGTTTTCTTCTTGCTTACTTACTTTTTCTTCACAGACAATAAAAATGATGATTCAATGCATATACGTATTAAATTCAAAATGTCAACCAATACAAGTGATAATCAAAATCATCCTCCAGTTAGTGTTGTTGAAATTAAACCATCACTTATGATGATGAATGATGGTGATGATGATCATGATGATACTATTTCATCCAATAATCCCTGTGATATTCATGCGATAAATGAGAAACATTTAAATAATGTAGCTAATCGACGTATTGTACGTAAATGTCGTCAATTATTATCTTCTGGCCAGACGCCATCATCATCATCATTAAATGTTACCAATGTTGTTAAACATTCAATCAATACTAATCGACCAATTGTTTTAAGAAAACGTATACAAAAACATTTAATAAAAAATTCTACAAAGCATCATACTACTACTACAACTAATAATAATAAATTAAAAAAACATACACGTAAATATTCACGTGATGATTTACATCGAAATATGAATATTTTACATGATTACACTGTCACTCAATCGAACTCAATGTTATCATCAAATCAATTTGGTTTGAATGATAAAAGATTTTCATCACCTTATTATTATACATGTCATTATCAACCTATTGATGTATTATATACAGAAAGTTGTAGTAGTAGTAATAATAATAATAATAGAATTCAATTAAATTATGATTCTAATTTATCGGATCCACATATAGGATATAATAAAGTACCGGTACCGTTTGCATTAACACAATATTTAGGTAAGTATTGATTTCTTTTGATTGCTCTACTGTTTTCTTTTTTGTCTGTTGATAAATTATCTAGATTTTACATCGTAAAATTTATTATGATCGGTTGTTGTGTAGAGTGCAGTTGTTAGGAAATGGGTCCTAGGTAAGGATGGTAGATCCATAGATGTGAAGTATTGAAACTTCATCAGTTTAGGTGGTGTTACGTATGCCTAACCACCGACTGCCTCGTCGAGTGATGTTTTGTGGTGTAGGAGTTATCCGCTTGTTAACCAAAGGACGAGTGTACTGCGCGGCAGTTCGCTCTGTCCTACTATACGGATGGGAAATATGGCCGTTAAGAGTAGAGGACATTAGTAGGTTACTAGTCTTCAATCATAGGTGTCTCCGAAGCATTGCTCGTATATCCTGGGACGACCGATTAAGCAATGCTGTTATTAGGAAACGAGTGCTAACTAAGGATGGCAAATCAATAGATGAGGTAATGAAACTTCATCAGTTGAAGTGGTTGGGACATGTGTTACGTATGCCTAACCACCGACTGCCTCGACGAACTATGTTTTGTGGTGTAGGAATAGGTTGGACGAAAGCTAGGGTCGGCCAAACCAAAATATGGCACAGCAGGAGTGGTGGATGCGCAGTGCTGAGGAGTCCCATACTAGGACGAAACGGCCGTCTTTCAGTGCTTCCAGGTTTCTAATGGTGGTCTAACAATGATCGATTCATGGTTTCAAAAAATGTGTAACTTAATAATCTTCTCAACCCCGTAATGCAGAATATGAAAGCAGTCAAGCAAATTTCAACTAGCACACTGATCAGCTAACTGTTTGTTTAACATCTGACTGCCTGTATTTCAGTATGGTTCACAGTTGAATCGCATGTGTGTGTGTGTACACATAGTTAGTTGATCGACTATTATATGGTAAAAAAAAAACATTTCTAGTGAAGTATTTTTTTTCTCTCTCCACCATTTATCTATATATATTTGTATATTTACATAGAATACTTTATGTGTGAATGTATTAATATTGATCATACATTAATAATCACATTTCACTTCAACTCATCAACTTCATCATCTTCATCGTCATCTGATGATGATGATGATGACAATCGGTAATAATAAACAAAATGTGTGTATATCATCTACTTTTAGTGCAATCAATACCCTTTTTAAAACTAGAATATTTCTTTCTATCTATCAGGTGTATTGATTGATTCTTTAAAAAAACCGTTTTTTGTTGTTTCTGTTTTCAATGTTTTGACGAACAACAAGTGAGCAAGCTAGGTGCAAACAAGCAAACTAGCAAGCAAGCCATATTTGACAGTAGTAGTCTAATAAGGGTGAAGAGCGCTGTTGTAAAATAAATTATCTTTTAAGTTTTTTTTTAAAAAAAAACATTTTACAAGAGAAAAAACTTGTTTTGTTTTTTTTCTTCATTGATTTATGCCATTGTCCTTATGATAAATAATAAAAAATGTCTGACTTTTTCCCGGTAAACATGCTTGCCGGTACTTTTTGGTGAATTTTTATGGCTCTTTTTTGTTATCCTGTATTGTACACTGATTGTGGTTGTTTCTTTTGTCTTCCCATGAAACGGTGATTATATGCATGCAATAGTTTCTTGGTTGTCAATCAACAGCAACGTAGAACTATGTACTTACGTACATCAGTTCAAGTTACCATACCACATTGACACACAGACTCGATTTTCAATTCGAATCCCATAGTAGTAGAGGTAGTAAAAGTATTAGCATTAATCGGAGAGAGATAAGATGGAGGTGATGAGGAACCCCGAAGATTAGGATTTGAGAGAACACAAAGAGTGGATACACCTGTGCCAATACAAATGGTTTTAAGCCATGTCATTCAAGGTCTATAACCATCGGAGACTCGTTTCGCGTACCTCAACCAGATAGTCGACATCTAGCGACATGACTCAGTTCACTTGTCAATGACTTCATGGATTTGTGCCATGTTTTGTTTCGGCCGCCCCTAACTTTCTTTTCAACCTATTCCTACATCGCAAAGCATTGCTCGACGAGTCAGTCAGTGATTAGGCATACGCAACAGGTGTCCCAATCCCTCCAACGGATGAAGTTTCACTACCTAGGACCCGTTCCGTGGTTGTCAGGAAATAAATATCTTGTTTATATCCTACTGGTCTCTCAAAATTTCCAACAACTTATTGGATACTACTTTTTCAGTGATTCTATAACTATAATCCTTACATTTTTTTGGTGCTTAACAGACAACAGTTCACATAATAAATAACTTCAAAAAAACGAGGCATATTTCCGTTCTAGTATTCAACTTCTCAAGATTTACTGCTGTCGATCGATACAATTAATTAAACGTGTGACCAATGAAATAAATTATGATTGTAAATTTCTTACAAATAATCGATAAAATATGTAGTACAATTTCTCTTCTTTTTTTTAAATTAAACATGAGATTCAATTGTGAGCCATACTGAAACAGATGTAATCAGATGTTAAACTAGCAGCTGGCTGTTCAGTGTGTTGGTTGAAACTTGCTTGACTACTTTCATAATCATTGAACTGATGATCTAATGTGAGAATATGGATATTAAAATAATTTTTATTAAAAAGTAATGCGTCAGTCAATCAGTCAGTCAGATGCGACGTAGAACTTCGTAAGTAAGTACATCAGTTCATGCTGCCATACCACATCAGCACAGAGATATAATTGTCAATTCAAATCCAATAGTAGAAGAGGTAGTAAAGGTATTAGAAGTAATCGGAGAGGTTATGATTAGAAGATATTATTCAAGAAGTATGATTCAGTGAGAAAAGTTTAGAAAGTCAAAGCTAGAGGTGTTGAAGAATCCAGAAGATTAGGATTTGAGAGAACATAAAGAATAAATGCACCGGCACCATCGCAAACGGTTTTGAGCCATGTCATTCAAGGTCTCTAGCCATCGATTATTATCATCTCGCGGACCCCAACCAGGTAGTCGACAACTACCGACATGGCTCAGTCCACTCGTCAATGACTTCATGGATTTCTGCCATGTTTTGGTTTGGCCGCCTCTAGCTTCCTTCCAACCTATTCCCACACTACAAAACAAGGCTCGTCGAGGCAGTCGGTGGTTAGCCATACGCAGCACATGTCCTAACCACCTCAACTGATGAAGTTTCACTACTTCATCTACTGATCTGCTATTCTTACCAAGCACCCGATTCCTAATAACAGCGATGCTCACTCGGTTGTCCCAGAATATACGAGCAATCCTTCGAAGACACCTATGATCGAAAACCAGTAACCTACGAGTAATGCGTAAAGTGAAGAGAATTTGAATACATTAATAGTTGTGTCAGTAAATCCTTAAAGCTGCTAAAAGATTACATGATTTGTGGTTATTATTTTCTCATATTATATATGAATATGCATATCAAATTACTTCGGGGAATGAACTTTTTATTGTTCGTGTTTTTTTTTTGAGGCAAAATACTTTTTCCATATGTTCAAAACTGAGATCAGTTAGTCGACTTGTTCTACATCACTTATTTTAAAATGAGATTGTTTTCTACATGTATTTTTCTTTCGTGTCAATTGATGAACATCTCTGTACGAGCTCCAGGATCTTGACAGAATGAATGGTGTATACTAACGGAATGTTTGTCACCGGCTATCATGTGACTGACTGCATCTACTGACGTTACTCCATTGTCTTGTGAAGTATAGACCTTTTGGTCAAAGGTTCAGTGAGTGGTTGGAGGAAAGCTATGGTCGGCCAGATCAAAACATGGCAGAAATCGATGAAGTCACCAACAAATGAACTAACTCATGTTGGTAGGTGTCGACTGCCCTGGTTGGGTACGGCGAGATGATAGTAATCGATGGTTAGAGACCTTGAATCACGTGGTTCAAAACCATTTGCCATGGCGCAGGTGCATTCATTCCTTGTATTCTGTCAAATAGTAACCTTCTGAATTCCTGACCACCATTATGTTTTTCCTTTTAAGTTTATTTCACTGGACTCTACTTCTTGAATAATATCACCGAACCCTAATCTCTCCATTTACTGCTAATACTTCTACTACCTCTACTACAATCGGATTTGAAGTGACAATTACGTCTCTGTGCTAATGTGTTATGAGAACATGAGCTGATGTACGTACGTACGACGTTCTATATTGCTATTGATTGATTGATTGATTACCTTCTTCGGTCTAGGAATCCGGACAACAACCCAGACCATTCATCATAAATTCAATAATTTTGCAAAGCGCCTAAATCATTTTAGTGTCACTTTGTGTCATTATTTTATATTCTTAAATAAAATAATCAGAAAAACAACATGATTTATAATGTGAATTGTCTAAATAAATGTACAGCGCGATTCATTCAGGTTGTATATTTTCTCATGTTTTCATATTATCGATAATTAGATTAAGATAGGTTAGGTTTGAAGTTAGATTAACCTTCTAATAATATAAGTCTTATTGTTCATTTTACTAGACAATATACTGCAGAATAATATTGATAATTCAAGATTGGCTTGTGTCAGCACTTGAACTAGAAGTTGAACGTGTTGACCGGTTCGCTTATCTCGAGTGTCTCATCAGTGCTGATGGCGTGGTGACTGACGAAATCTTAGCACGGATACAGAAGGCTCAACTGGCTTTTGCCAACTTGCATCACTTATGGAGTAGGCGAGATATCCGTTTGCTAACCAAAAGACGAGTCTACTGTTCATCAGTTATCTTCGTCCTACTATATGGCTGTGAAACATGGCCACTAAGTATAGAAGATATTCGTAGGTTATCGGTTTTCGATCATAGGTGTCTCCGAAGCATTGCTCGTGTATCATGTGGAAATTTGATAAGCAATACTATCGTTAGGAAACGAGTACTAGGTAGGGATGGCAGATCAATTGATGAAGTATTGAAACTCCATCAGTTGAAGTGGTTGGGACATATGTGTTACGAATGCCCAACCACTGACTGCCTCGACGAGCTATGCTTTGTGGTGTAGAAGTTCTGTG